AGAATGTGAGCAGCTCCCATTTCCATCCCTAGTATCAGCATCAAGCTCTGTCTGATAAAAAACTATGAAAATCAATGCATATCTCAGCAATATTACACCTTATTATTCAACAGTACTGTTTTTAAGAGTCTGGTATTTTAAATGAGTAGTTACAACTACTAAAAAGATTGTGTTTGGTTTTGCTTTGGCATATTGCCAAGCTATCTTAGCTGGCTACAGCAAACCTACTTGAAGGCTGAAGTCTCTTAGCCTGAGCCTTCGAACTTGTACTGACCCTGTGATGCCTCACTATGCATGAACTGTAACATGATGCTGTAACTTGAACCTGAAGCTACACAGAAAGCAAAATGGAGCTTGAAGTGTTTAATCATTTTATCATCTAAGAGATTATAGAGAGTGAATTTCTCCATGAAAAAACACCCTATGAAGGATAACAGGGAGAATGCAAGTGTGATTCCAGAATTAAATGAGGTACTAAACAGCAGGTAATGGCATTGTTATTCTTATACTTCCTGCAGAGAATACTTTCTTACTGCAACCTGGAAGACAACTGCCTTCATTGTTGTTTTCCACTCTACAGCAGAATTGATACAGACTTATTTACTTGATTTAGAGGCGAGCTCTGTTTCTGTTTCCTCAAAAAACAGTGTGCTTAGAAATCAACACTCACCTTCTTGCAGCTGAGACAGAAGACAACAGCTTAGACTCAAAAGATGAAAAGCAGAATGAACTGTAAAGCTCCTTGAAGGTGCTTTTAGAAGCAGAACCTTGTTTTGGAAGATTTTTTTGTTTGTTGTTTATTTCAAGCAAACTGAAAACAAACCCACTACAGGCTTGGAACTGAAAAAGTCTTCAGGAGTCAAGTGCTGGTAAATAGATGAATAGGTTTTGTAAAGGAAGCTTCTTTCACCGTCTGAATCAACTCTGGAAGGTCTGAGATAATTGTAGTTTAGGACGGAGCATTTTACAAGAACATGGCTTTTGTTTGATCTTTGAGAATGAGAGACTTCAAACAAACACAGATGAAGGAGAGGGAAGAGCAGACTCTCTGCAAAGCTGGCATTTGTGAGCTGTCTCCTACTGTAACTACAAATGCTCTGCCCCAATCCCCACAGTGAAATCTTTCTTCGGGAGGTACTCCTCACAAAGCAGCTTCCAGTTTCTTCAGTCAGGAAAGCAGGACTGACCTGACCCCTGTGCCTGCTCTTTAGTCTTCAGGGAAGTCAAGAATTGTAGCTCCAAAGGGAAATTGCTTCTGAGATCACCAGCCTCCTTGTTTAGTCCTTTATATCATGGTTCAGACCCCCATGACAGAGACCCTCTACTCACACGGTGGTCTGCTTCACCTTTGAGAAGTGGTTCTGTCAGAAAAGGACACTAGCTGTGCTGACATTACTTTTTACCTATTAAATTTCCATGTGATAAGGCAATATGCGTGCCCCACTCATCCTGCTTCATCTCATATGAAACTACTTACTATCTGCTCCCAACCCCTCACAAGTCAATGCTGTGAAGTACACCCTGTACGACTGCTGAGGAAATAGGTATTTTAGAGGCACACAGCTAAGCACCCTTGGATATTCACATACTTTCAAAAGGAATAGCCATTTATAAAAGTTTTTCTCATGGCCAGAAGACACTAAGGATGACCGAGGACTGTTCACACCGAAAATCAGGATCAAATTCTAACCAGTGAAGGGGTAAATCCACAATGTTAACAGTCACATTTCTACTGAGTGAAAGCATTTCATGTACATACTGTAGAACTTTGCAAGAATGTTTTAACCACTTCCCTGTATTCAGATCCTGAACGCTGCTTTCTTCTGTTTCACTTAGATATTTGCTGAAGAACAGAACACACGAAACAAAGAATTTGCATGTTTTCTCTACAAACATTTCTTCCATACGAGGAATAGAAGCATTATCCTTCTGCTTGAAAATTTCACATGCCTCCATGACACTTGCCTAGAACACAGACCTGCTTTCCAGTGAACAGAATACCACACACCTCTCAGAGTGCTTTATTTCACAGACTACATCAATTTTGCACAATTCCCACTCCAGCTCCATATGCTAGTTACTATTTCTGTCTTTTAGGAGTTCTGGATTTTGAATGAGGTAGACAAAAGGACTAGAGACCTCGTCATTCAATACAAAACCAGTGAACTCTGACAATGAATACAGCGGAACAGCTCCTTGCTGCATCATTGTTTAAAATCCCTACTCAGACTGGCTTAGACAATGTACTTGTTCTGGGTTTCAGTAACCCACAAAGCACATTATTCACAAATGTCCAATTTTTTTCAAAGACAGAAGAGAGAATCAAGAGCAAGTCTTTTTCAGTTATTGCCTGCTCTTTACTGGCCTACTAGGAGGGAGTTTTCTATTTTCACCCATTGCATCTCAGCAGTGTGCAGGCATGGGCGAGAAGTCTCACAAAAGCAGCCAACACAGTTCTTTCTGGGCTGTGGATTTCAACATAAGACAAGTGAGGATGATAAAAACCACAAAAGGAGGGCAGGAATCTGCAAAAAGAGCATTGCAGGCTGCAGCCTTCCAGACAAGCTCCTTTTCCACTGAGGTCAGCAATAAAACTCCCAAGAACCAGATTTGCAAAGTCCTTATTCTCCTGGGAAGAAGAGTCACCTGAGCACTTTATCCAGATCTCACAGAAAGACTCGTGAAGGAAACAGCTCTCTGATGGAAGCGAAGCCTCATGTCAAAGAAAATGACTTCCAGTGAGGAAACAGCACCAGACTCCAGGAAAGCACATCCTGACGCTGCAGACCTGGCTCGCTCTTCTGCTATTTGTATAACCAACACACTCAGATCCCGGCTGCTGAAGTGAGGTACATACGGAGATGAATCTCCTTTCACTTAACGTTGACTTAGATCAGTAGTGAATCAACTCATCAGTTGTACTTTGCTATCTATAAATGTCCTCAGAAGAAACAGAAAAAGGTTCTCTACTTTGCAGTGGTCAGCCTATTATGTCTATGCCAAAATCCTTACTTCTCCATTGTTTCAAAATAAGCAAATGTGAAAATATATGGATGTGAGCATAAACTAGAATTGCAATTCTATTCATTTTTTCCCCTTACGACCCACAGTTTGTTAAGCTAATCAATAGTGCTATGTTAATTACAGAAAATAAGAATGTGAATGAGTATCTTGTCTCCAACATATTAACTAGCTTCATCAGAGGAAGGCTGTAAAACCTATTCCGTATCAGACTGTGTCGTTCTTTATTGTTACTTGTTATTGATGCTCAGAAGTTGATTATTTCATGGCCTGAAAAATGAAAGTAGAAAGCTTTGAATTTGTCTCTTACTGGCTATAATCAAAGATGCTACTAGTATTTATATAAATTGCCTGAAGTTTCATAAGCTGTGTTCATTAGTATCCCAAAGAAGAAAGTTCTACAAGTTAATGACACATGTAAAAATAATGTATTTAAATCCATTAGAAATGCATTTGCACTGAAATCTACGCGTTAATACTACAAGCCTACAAGCAGGCTTAATAAAATTAAATGCCTTTACCAGCCTTCCATGGATGATTCAGAATGGTACATGCTATACTACATCCGCTTATTTTCCACAGAAAAAATCCCTTGCATTTCTAATCTCTCCTTATACGGAATCTCTCATAGGCACTCATGCCTACATGCACAAAAGAGGCCAGATACTTAGTTGCAGCCAAAAGGCTAATTACAAGCTAAAATATTGGGTGTCTAGGCTATAGCAAAATATTCCAGCACCCCCAAATCTTATTTTGGGCATCTGGGAGAACTCTCAGTCCCTTTTCACTTCAGAATCCCAGAATCACCATCTCTCACTTACTTGTCCCCATATTTATTTTCAATTGACATCTGAAAGCGGTATCTAATGCAAGTAAAATCTTTATCACACCTTGGCAAAAGTCTTTCATGTTCTTTTCTGCACGACCTTGACTTTAATGCTGCTGCGTTCATAACTAGCAATGAGGATTTATTTTCTAATTGATGTCGATCTACGACAAGTACAAAGTATTGGGGATCACACTGGTCTAAATCCACTCCAATTTCTCACTCTGCTCCAGTGCCACATCTCACCTGCATACTGTGTCAGTGGCAGGGAAAAAGCCCCTCCGGGACTTGTGCCTCCTTCATCACTGCCATGTTCTTGTTGGATTGAGTTTATACCAGTCAAAGTAATGCAGCAACACAAACCAGCTACCCCTCACCTAACACCAGCCACAGCCATGAATCACACTCTTTTCCCCAGGCACAAGATTCTCTTCTGGAGACTTATCCCCTTCACACCATGTTCCAACACCTTGTTTTCTTGTGGTAAATGAGTACATAATAATATTAACTGAAGTTGCATTTCTCTGCTTAATTCCTCTTTCATTCACCCTCTTGCCATCTCCCACCACATGTGGATGGCTTGAACTGTGCCCTCTTCTGTGCACTGACTGGATTAAAAGAGAATAGAGACTAAAAAATCTGCAACTAGCATGAAATAAAATATCATACAATGTCTCAGTCTAATAGCTATGGTCTTTATACTTCTGATTAAGTCCTCTTATTTACCCATATCATATCTGGACAATTAGCTGCCAAGTTACAAAATGCATTCTGTCTTTCAACGTTACTCTGAATCTAATAATGCCAACAGAATTCTGTATCCATTTACTCAGTAGTAAGCAGCCGTAAGACTTATCCTTTCATAAGCAAATAAATATCAGATTAATGATGGGATACATTTAAGTTGCAGCTACCATACAAATAACCTTATTGGCAGCTACTCCTTTTGTCCTATGATTAGAACCAGAATTCAGTCTTCATAAGAAACTACCAATTTCAAATTGTTTAAATTGTTAAAATACTGTGCTAGGATTACTAGCAAAATTTTAGATTATTAAAGCTGAAATATTTTAAATCTGAATTTATCACCTTTTATACTTTTTTCCCTTCTGTTTGTACACGCTTTAGAGCAGGCAATGAAAATTAACGTATTCAGCGTCAGGGATTGTAGGTAGTTTCACTTAAATTAAACCCATATTCCTCCAGCTGGGATTCACAGACTGTGGGAGAATATTCATCAGGAGTTTTCATTGGTTTTACTAGGATTATTTGTAGACAGATTTGAAATATTTTCTATAGAAAGGCTCACATCACTGTTAGATATAATTAAAAAAAACCCAACACTTTAAAATACATACGTGTGAAATCAAATTTAAATACGTAGTTTCCATTTGACATTTACGATAAAACAGAATTTAAAAAGAGCAAGATAAGTTAAATATAGTTCAATGCAATACAGCTAGCCTGTACTATGTTAACATTTTTCATTCTCCAGGACACAGTGTCTCCCTGTGCTTTTTTGTTCCTTTAACATCAAAAAGCAGTGATATTTGAAAGCTTACAATTACAAAGAATTGAATTTCTTTTGCCCATTGATTTCTTTCTTTCTTTTTCTTTCACTTAAAGAAAGAATTATTTTAAATGCAGATGATAAATGATAACGAGGTTTTTCATCTCTGACCTTTGCATTGCTTTCAGTGACTCAAAAGGCTTAACCTTTACTTGAAAAGCCATGTACTGATCTAATGGGATCTTCAAGGAGAACAGATATAATGTCCTGATATATATATTTGCACGCTATAACCTTTAGCTTATAACCATATTCCAAGGTCACTTTAAGCACAGCTGTTACCTGCACTTGGGACACAGTCAAAGGATAACGAAATAATATCCAGGTGACACCTTCACTGCAGGGTGGAATGGTTAGAGAGCCCTCATACACCCAGTAGTCACGCAGAAGAGGATCTGAAATTAAAAGAAATGTGGAATTTTAATGACATTAAGGAAAGTAATTGTGTCTTTCAATTATGACAACTTATGATAGCCATGGGTTTGCTCATATGATGAAGTTAGTACGCAGTAAGGTAAGGTGGGAATTTATAACCTGCCAAGCACTGTCCACTACTTCCTCATGTGAATGTATTGTATTACAGTAACTTCCCCCTGCAGAGCAGTATTTTAAGGACGAAAATGCCATTTTATAGATGTGAAAAATAACATCGGCACAACTCCTTAAACTACCACAGCAAATAAATAATATGGTGGGAAAGAACTCCTGTTAGTGTCAAAAGCTGCAAGAGACATCCCATTCTGAAGGCAGAGGAGCTGTGGTGATCAAATTTTAACTGACTTCTACATTTAGGGTACGTCTCAAGGACGAATTTTTTTTAATTTTGTAGAAAAATTCAGTGAAAACAGCTCAGGTTAAACTTTTCAGTTCACAATTCTGGTGACGTATTTTTTGAGATGCACTGGTGCCTCCTAGCTTTGGAAAAGTGAGTTGAATTTCACAGGAGAAAAAAATCAAGGTTTATTTAAGAATAAACTTATTTTAATAAGTTTATAAACTTATTAATAGGTTTATAAATAAGTGTTAGAATAAACAGTTGTCTCTCAAGAAAACATACAATGGTTTGTCCAAGCAGAGTTTTAACTCTACATACGATACATTTGATTTTAATTATTTTTATTCTAATTCCTCAAAGATTCCAGTCACACCACACTTTGTAAGGCAGACTACACAGGGCTTTCCTTTGCTGCTGTAGGCCATACTCACAAATGACTCCCTGACACTACTTAAGAAATAGGAAGAGGAAACTGCCTGGCTGAAAAAGAGGGGACAAGAAACAAACCTAGAGAGGAACTGGAGACAAGAGTGGTTCAGAGCTAGGGGGAAGGTTGTGACCAGCTTGACAAGGACAGAATGGGAGACTGGAAACAAATAAACTTGTTTGGTTGACCTAACCTGTTACTGCCATTTCACTACTAGCTCAGAGGAATATCAGGAGAATTAAATCTTGCTAATGAAGCCTGTGATTGTCAGTGAATGGATTTTGGTTTGTTGGTGTTATTTTCTTTCTCAGTTAGGGAATCACACAGGAAATCCATTGAAAGCAAGTTGCATTAACAAGCACTCAAAAGTTAAGAACTGCAAGAATTAATTCAGCCCATCCTGTGTATGTGCTGTGACATCATCTTGTTACATGATCACCTATGTCTTTTCCAGAGAACCTTTCATCATTTACTTGCAAAGGTGGATGATTTTCTTTTGAAAAGCATCTAATAACATTTGGATTTCTCAGTACAATATGCAGACCTTGGTCTTCTTTTTCCCCACGCTATTCAAATCCTGCTTGTTAGAAGGACCACATTTTCTCATTTTTCCTATTTCTAATGCACTCATTTCTTTGGTGTCTGAGTGCTTCACAAACATGAATTAATTTCTCCTTCCAGCACCCCAATGTGGTGAGGAAGGCCAGATTACCCCCTGCACTTTAAAGCTGGGGAACTGAGGCACAGAGAAGTTAAGGTCAAATGCATCTATTCATTTGAGGTGGTCAATATGAGATGCTTGGAACCTGATTTCTCAGAGTAGTTAACTTTCTATAGCACTTAATGCAGTCAGAGCACTGCTCCCATTGACTTCAGTTGGAGGTGTAAGCACTCAGCACTTCTGCAAATCAGACCCCATGATCTCAAGTCGGGCACCTAGAAAATGAGGAACACATAGTTAGAGATGACTTATGAAAATTTTGGTTTATGTGACTTGATCAGCATCAAATGGGAACCGTGAGGCAGGGGTCCTGTGAAAAATAACTTATGGTCACACAATTAAAACATGCTTTGTAATGCATATGCATAAAGGGGCACAGCCAGCCTTAATTCCTGCAGTTCCTAATTGCTGAGCACTTGACTTTGCAACCTAAACCATATTCTTTTGATATAATTAATACAGTTCAATGTAGACCTGGATTACTTTGGAAAATTAAAGATCCTGCCACTATGACACAGAATTTAGCTCAGAAGGATTCCTTGCAGAAACATTCGTCTTGTAGAAATGCCTTTTTGAAAAAGTCACATTTTTTTTCAAGACAAGGTAGAGGAAGTGGTTGTTTCTTACTGTTACTCTTTAACTTTTAGCTGTATGAATTTGAATTTGCCTCCCATTGTCACTACTCCTTGTATGCTATATAACTGTCATTGCATTATGGCATTGCCTTTTGATGCTGCCAAAAAGCTACCTTGGGAAGTGCGTAACCTTACACTTCCTATTTTATGCCAAAGGAGAGAAAGGAGCACACAGAGCTCCTCCTCTAGGTGGGATGATGAATCAGCAAGAAAGCTAGCCACAGCGTTGCCAGCAGTGCATGGACTACAGTATCACATCCCACTCATATGAGGAAGGCGCAGATTTATCCTAAGTTCAAAAGGGACTTCATCCCTATCCCTGCTAGCATGACTAACTAGGTGCAAAATGCATTACCACCTTCTGGGACACACTCTCAGGCTTAAAATTAGGCTATGCTTTAGATCAAGATTGTCTCAGCCTCTGCAATTAGCTAGTAATCCACGCACACAAAAGTAAGCAAAAGCACCTACCTGGCAATAAAGAGTTGGGATTAAAACAGGGTATTGTTTTGGACTTTCCCTGAAAAAATGAATACAAATCAATCTCATCTCTAGGTTCTTGTTAAAATGATGAATGGAGAGGTAAAACACACTGTGTGTTCTTGTAACATTAAGCCTTGAATTCCTGTGCAAAGCAACCTCATTAATAGCCCCCATTTAATCATCATTGCATTTGTCCTTGCAGCTACACAAACAAGTTTTTTTATTCTATTTTATATTTTACTTCTAATGTTATCTCAGCAATTTGTTAACTTTCTGCCTTTAGTACCTGGGCTCCTTCCAGGCCCCAGCTTGAAATTCTCTGCATGAAATTCAGGGGTTCCATACAAATGAGTTTGAAAAACAAGGGCCAAAGTGAGCTTTCCCTTGACTGACATGGATAACCTGACGTGGACAACACTTACCAAAATACAGCTGGTTCCACATATTTAACGCAAGAAAATTTTATGTATGCCAAAAGTATGTTTGATGCTGACCTGCTGAAAGTCGTTTGTGTAACACACTCACAATGATGAGGCCTTTCATGACCTTCCTCTACTTGGCTGTCCTTTCAGTAATGAAACTACTCAGTTCCAGACACTATTGTTTTCTCTGACACCTTCATAAACAATGAGTTTGTAATATTAAACATCATGACTGAAGTTTACCATATATTATTTGACTAAAAGAAGATTTTCAATTCCCTTCTAATAACAGCTTCTATTTTTTCTACACTTCAGCATTCACTGAAGTGAATAGCTAATCTCTTCAGACCAATACAGAACGTCTCATTAATACATCTCAAAATCCTTTAAAATCAAAGGTAAGTATGATTATGTCTATGTTACAGACAGAGACCAGGAAGCAGAGAGATGGAAGTAACTTGCCCAAGGTCGTTTAAGATAGCATCAACATTCTGGAGAGCACTCATATCTCCTCAGTCATGCTAGGCTTATTATCTGTCCTTCAGGATTCCCACACATAATCCATCTGACAAGACAGCATTGTGTTTTTGCTGATTTCCCACTGCAAGTTAACATGGGTGCTCAGTTCATCTATTCTTTTCCTCTACAAATTAAAATCAGGTAATTTTGGAGATGCTGCTGCTGGTGTTCACTAAGCATGTTGCCATGCTTGCATTCACGCTGACTCCACGATAATCACTGAAAAGGTAGTATCTGCATCAGTTACTGGTATAGGAGATTTTCTGGCCAGCAGAAAAGGAAGTAACTACGAAGATTGTGTATTATCTGACTACTGTGAAATGCTGAGGTTCTGATGCAGGCCATGAAATGATGGCTTTCACATGTGGTTTTACTACAGACACATCTGAAACCCTTCTCTTGGCTTCATACAGACTCTTTGCTCACTTACTTTCTCTCTGGCCAGTGAAGGAAGCATTTCTTCAGACAGTGCCTTACCTTGTACTGGATGTCCTGGAGAATTTCAGTTACAGCCTTTAGGCCTACATGCTCTTTTCCTATCTGAAACACAGCAAGCAAAGGTGAGTTTCAGTATTTTGCTATTTCAGAAACTGCGAGGCAAGACAAAGGTCAACAGGAATGGTAAGTTCTGTAGTTGGTTTTAGTTACACTACACAACCTTGCGTTAACCAAATATACTGATACATGGCAACTCCAAACAATCAAATCACTATAAAGCCACCAGTCAAAAGTAAACAAGGTATAAATAACTTTAAAGCAGAGACAGAAACTCAAAGAAAAAGAGAAAGAGTCACAGTTAAGCTCGGTAAGTTTTGACTAACCCTGTTTTGCAGCATATACTGCATGTGGCATCAAAATCATGCAGCATTATGGCATATAAATGCCAAGGATACAGTTTGTCCTTACCAGGAAAGTACACAGAAAGGAGCAGAGCGAACAAGCACGCCAGACACTTTGTGAACTTGTTCCCACAGCATTGCAAATGTGGCCCAAGGTATCCCCGAAGCTCAGGGGAGTTTCCTCCTGCCTGCAGAGCACAGAATGGCAGATCCCCTCCCTCACAGCATCTCTGGGATCCCACTGGCGAAAGCCGGGCTCCCGGCAGCCTGCAGCACTGCCTTTACCCAACACCTTTAAGGCACTGAAGATGGGGCTTTCAAAAGAAACCCGCTGTTGAAATAAGAGATTCTTATTTTCCACAGACATTGTTCACTCTGCACACTGATTTCAGCTGCTTCTGATCTAAATCACCCATTCCAGGAATCTAGCTTTTACCTTCAGAACACGTTGTCAAAATAGGAAGACTCAGAACAGCCTTCCACTTGATTTCTTTGCCAACGTGTACACATACAAGGTAAGAAATGAAGTGGGCATGAGTGAGAACGGGAGAGCTAGACCCTGAAAATTTTGTTTGCTTTTTGTTTCTCTTGGAATAGATTAGCACAGTAGTCACTGGAAGGAAACAACTGAATGTCAACAAAAAGTTCTTTGTTATTTCTAGGAATTTAAGAGGATTTTCTTTTGTTTCAGAATGGGATTTCAATTCAAAACCTTCGAAGTGCATAAAAGATACTGAAATCACTTCAAAGGCACTGTTTCTAAACTAATAATCAGCAAGGGCTGTCACTTAAATCAGTGAAAATATTTTCACTGACCTTAAAATGATGTGTTTGAGAACTGTGGTGCAAAACTATTTTATTTCCATGCCTTTAACAGGAAAAAATGGTCACTGAATTTCCTCTCCCTGTTCCTTTAATAAACAGCATAAATACTATTTTACCTTCGTCAATTCTAATTATATGATGCCTTTCTTGGCTAATGAAAAAGCCCTTTGGAATGCTTAAGAACTCTGATGAAGGTGAGAGACCAGAAATGGAAAATGTATCACTGAATTTTCAGATTTATTTAAGAACTTATATATAACTTTCTAAGTAACTCGAAGGTTACCTCTGCTGGAATTAGAAGGTGACTTACATAAGCAATTATCACACAGCCCTCTAGGATACAAAACTGAAGACTTTCTAACTTCCATTTTTAGCAGTTCTATCTGAGTGTTGGAGCTGTAACCAAAGTACCTTTAAATTCAAACAGAGGTAAAGCTCAAAGGCATTCATAAACTTGTTATGAAATACGACAAATTAATATTATCACTGTGAAAGAAAATCCATTTGATCTAAGCATGAACTCTAAACCTCTTCCTCCAAACCCATTTAAATAAAGCAGTTTGCCACTTCTCACGAGGAGGATGAGAATCTGGCGTTTGAAGACTGTAACTGAAAATCTTGTTTATAGGGTGCAGCCTTTGAAAAACCTTCAACAGCAATTAGATTATGGGGCTAACCTCCCAGCCTGTATTACACCTGCTCTCCAGGAAGCTTTAAGCCTCTTCGTCACAGGCTTTTCAGAGGGTCTGTAGCAAGACTTGTTACACTCTCAGTCTGGTGTTTCTGAAGAATATGACCCCACCTCACATTTGTCTCACGTGAAGAAACACGCTTGTCCCTGTGTTCAGAAAAGCACAATCCCACTACCAGTTTTCGGCTGCGCCAATGGGTTAGTAGGCTTTTTTTTCCCCTTTCCTCCTCTCCTCTGTATATTTCCTCAATCCTTAAACAGCAGGCCTGGCCAGGAATGGAGAAAAACACATTACAGAGATAGTGAAGCACTTGTACCTCCTGACAGCCCTCATTCTGCCCTCAGAGGAATGGAGATGGGATGTCTGCTTATAGCCAGAGTCACAGAGAGAAGGCCGACTGTATTATCCCTTCTTTAACTAATATACCTCCAATATCCTGTTTAAACAAGAAATATTTAGCACACACACAAATAACATGACTGAGAAGTATCTTTTGAATAGAATACCAGTAGTCATACATTGTTTTATTTTATGAAATCATTAAAAATGAAAGAAAATAGAAAGGAACTCATTTTTTTCAGACAAACAACAGCGCATGGTAACAAGTGCAACACAAGAAACTTACCTGCACAAACAAAGCAATGATAGCTATGCCGTGCTTCTTCCCTACTGCCTCATCAATGCTGCTGTACAGTGTGGAGTTCCAGTGCATTAGATGAAGCTAAAACAAAGCAGTGCAAATAGACCAATAGAGAAATATGTTTTGTAATAAAAAAACACCAGCAGTTAATGTCAATTAACAAAGCCTCAGCACGTGTGTGTGTGTGTGTGTGCATGCGAGAATATATATACGTAGATGCCTACGGCTGTGCATGTATATATAAGTGGATTCTTATTACAAACACCAGGAATCTCAAGGAAAAAAAGGTGAGCTGCAGAGAAAGTGATGTATAGCCGTCACCAGGTATCTACAAGAAAGCTGTGAATAACTATGCTAATGATGCTAATGATGCTATACCAGCTCCCTCACTTCGAATACTGAAATACCGTCAGCTAACAAAACCCACCAACGTTGCCTCTCAGCCAGCCAACTCTCTTCCAAGGCAGGAGTACGATATGGACACAGGCTGTCCAAACACACGTTTGACTGGCTGACTGTACTGCCTTAATGTCTCTTGTCTCACATATCACCTCCCAAGCTGAGTCACTCAAATGTCAGTAGTAAGAGCAGGAGAAGTGATTTCAGGAAAGGTTAAACCTCGAGAAAATTAAGCAGAGAAAAATGGCTGGAGGACCACCTTAGGGATGGCAGTCAAAGGGATGCTAAAGAGTAAAATACAAGCCCTCAACTGCCTTCTTCCACAAGGTAGCAGGGCCTGCAGGAGTTAATGCATGAATAAATGTCAGGCAGCAGACATCGGATAGTAAACACAAAGTCTGTTCTGGTGAGGTGCTACAGCATCATTTGGGAAGTGGTGCTTGAGAAAAGTGCTGGAAGACAGACTAGCAGGCTGGAGGAAGGAGGGGAGGGGAGGGAGGGGGAGGAAGAGGGTGGGAAGGGAGATGGAGGGAAGA